CCCCTCGTGAGTGCCCCTCGCACCCCCTCGTGAGTGCCCCTCGCACTCCCTCGTGAGTGCCCTTGGCACCCCCTCGTGAGTGCCCCTCGCACCCCCTCGTGAGTGCCCCTTGCACCCCTCGTGAGTGCCCCTTTGCACCCCTCGTGAGTGCCCCTCGCACCCCTTCGTGAGTGCCCTTCCCACCCCCTCGTGAGTGCCCCTCGCACCCCCTCGTGAGTGCCCTTGCACCCCCTCGTGAGTGCCCCTCGCACCCCCTCGTGAGTGCCCCTCGCACTCCCTCGTGAGTGCCCCTCGTACCCCCTCGTGAGTGCCCCTCGCACCCCCTCGTGAGTGCCCCTCGCACCCTCTCGTGAGTGCCCTTCCCCCCCCTCGTGAGTGCCCCTCGCACCCCCTCGTGAGTGCCCCTCGCACCCCCTCGTGAGTGCCCCTTGAACCCCCTCGTGAGTGCCCCTTTGCACCCCCTCGTGAGTGCCCCTCGCACCCCCTCGTGAGTGCCCTTCCCACCCCCTCGTGAGTGCCCCTCGCACCCCCTCGTGAGTGCCCCTTGCACCCCCTCGTGAGTGCCCTTTGCACCCCCTCGTGAGTGCCCCTCGCACCCCCTCGTGAGTGCCCCTCGCACTCCCTCGTGAGTGCCCTTTGCACCCCCTCGTGAGTGCCCCTCGCACCCCCTCGTGAGTGCCCCTTGCACCCCCTCGTGAGTGCCCCTTTGCACCCCCTCGTGAGTGCCCCTCGCACCCCCTCGTGAGTGCCCTTCCCACCCCCTCGTGAGTGCCCCTCGCACCCCCTCGTGAGTGCCCCTCGCACTCCCTCGTGAGTGCCCTTTACACCCCCTCGTGAGTGCCCCTCGCACCCGCTCGTGAGTGCCCCTTGCACCCCCTCGTGAGTGCCCCTTTGCACCCCCTCGTGAGTGCCCCTCCACACCCCCTCGTGAGTGCCCTTCCCACCCCCTCGTGAGTGCCCCTCGCACACCCCTCCGAGTGCCCCTTGCACCCCCCCTCGAGAGTGCCCCTCGCACCCCCTCGTGAGTGCCCTTCGCACTCCCTCGTGAGTGCCCCTCGTACCCCCTCGTGAGTGCCCCTCGCACCCCCTCGTGAGTGCCCCTCGCACCCCCTCGTGAGTGCCCATCGCACCCCCTCGTGAGTGCCCTTCACCCCCCCTCGTGAGTGCCCCTTGCACCCCTCGTGAGTGCCCCTTTGCACCCCCTCGTGAGTGCCCCTCGCACCCCCTCGTGACTGCCCTTCCACCCCCCTCGTGAGTGCCCCTCGCACCTCCTTGTGAGTGCCCCTCGCACTCCCTCGTTAGTGCCCTTTGCACCCCCTCGTGAGTGCCCCTCGCACCCCCCTCGTGAGTGCCCTTCGCACTCCCTCGTGAGTGCCCTTTGCCCCCCCCTCGTGAGTGCCCCTCGCACCCCCTCGTGAGTGCCCCTTGCCCCCCCTTCGTGAGTGCCACTTTGCACCCCCTCGTGAGTGCCCCTCGCACCCCTCGTGAGTGCCCCTTGCACTCCCTCGTGAGTGCCCCTCGCACCCCTCGTGAGTGCCCCTCGCACCCCCTCGTGAGTGCCCTTCCCACCCCCTCGTGAGTGCCCCTCGCACCCCCTCGTGAGTGCCCCTCGCACTCCCTCGTGAGTGCCCCTCGTACCCCTCGTTAGTGCCCCTCGCACCCCCTCGTGAGTGCCCCTCGCACCCCCTCGTGAGTGCCCTTCCCACCCCCTCGTGAGTGCCCCTTGCACCCCCTCGTGAGTGCCCCTTTCACCCCCCTCGTGAGTGCCCCTCGCACCCCCTCGTGACTGCCCTTCCCACCCCCTCGTGAGTGCCCCTCGCACCCCCTTGTGAGTGCCCCTCGCACTCCCTCATTAGTGCCCTTTGCACCACCTCGTGAGTGCCCCTCGCACCCCCTCGTGAGTGCCCCTTTCACTCCCTCGTGAGTGCCCTTTGCACCCCCTCGTGAGTGCCCCTCGCACCCCCTCGTGAGTGCCCCTTGCACCCCCTCGTGAGTGCCCCTTTGCACCCCCTCGTGAGTGCCCCTCGCACCCCCTCGGAGTGCCCCTCGCACTCCCTCGTTAGTGCCCTTTGCACCCCCTCGTGAGTGCCCCTCGCACCCCCTCGTGAGTGCCCCTTTGCACCCCCTCGTGAGTGCCCCTCGCACCCCCTCGTGAGTGCCCCTCGCACTCCCTCGTGAGTGCCCCTCGTACCCCCTCGTGAGTGCCCCTCGCACCCCCTCGTGAGTGCCCCCTCGCACCCTCTCGTGAGTGCCCTTCCCACCCCCTCGTGAGTGCCCCTCGCACCCCCTCGTGAGCGCCCCTCGCACCCCCTCGTGAGTGCCCCTTGCACCCCCTCGTGAGTGCCCCTTTGCACCCCCTCGTGAGTGCCCCTCGCACCCCCTCGTGACTGCCCTTCCCACCCCCTCGTGAGTGCCCCTCGCACCCCCTTGTGAGTGCCCCTTGCACTCCCTCATTAGTGCCTTTTGCACCCCCTCGTGAGTGCCCCTCGCACCCCCTCGTGAGTGCCCCTCGCACTCCCTCCTGAGTGCCCTTTGCACCCCCTCGTGAGTGCCCCTCGCACCCCCTCGTGAGTGCCCCTTGCACCCCCTTGTGAGTGCCCCCTCGCACCCCCCTCGTGAGTGCCCCTCGCACTCCCTCGTGAGTGCCCCTCGTACCCCCTCGTGAGTGCCCCTCGCACCCCCTCGTGAGTGCCCCTCGCACCCCCTCGTGAGTGCCCATCGCACCCCCTCGTGAGTGCCCTTCCCACCCCCTCGTGAGTGCCCCTCGCACCCCCTCGTGAGTTGACCCTTGCACCCCCTCGTGACTGCCCCTCGCACCCCCTCGTAAGTGCCCCTCGCACCCCCTCGTGAGTGCCCCTCGCACTCCCTCGTGAGTGCCCTTTGCACCCCCTCGTAAGTGCCCCTCGCACCCGCTCGTGAGTGCCCCTTGCACCCCCTCGTGAGTGCCCCTTTGCACCCCCTCGTGAGTGCCCCTCACACCCCCTCGTGAGTGCCCTTCCCACCCCCTCGTGAGTGCCCCTCGCACCCCCTCGTGAGTGCCCCTTGCACCCCCTCGTGAGTGCCCCTCGCACCCCCTCGTGAGTGCCCCTCGCACTCCCTCGTGAGTGCCCCTCGTACCCCCTCGTGAGTGCCCCTCGCACCCCCTCGTGAGTGCCCCTCGCACCCCCTCGTGAGTGCCCATCGCACCCCCTCGTGAGTGCCCTTCTCACCCCCTCGTGAGTGCCCCTTGCACCCCCTCGTGAGTGCCCCTTTGCACCCCCTCGTGAGTGCCCCTCGCACCCCTTCGTGAGTGCCCTTCCCACCCCCTCGTGAGTGCCCCTCGTACCCCCTCGTGAGTGCCCGTTTTGCACCCCCTCGTGAGTGCCCCTCGCACCCCCTCGTGAGTGCCCTTCCCACCCCCTCGTGAGTGCCCCTCGCACCCCCTCGTGAGTGCTCCTCGGCACTCCCCTCGTGAGTGCCCTTGGCACCCCCTCGTGAGTGCCCCCTCGCACCCGCTCGTGAGTGCCCCTTGCACCCCCTCGTGAGTGCCCCTTTGCACCCCCTCGTGAGTGCCCCTCACACCCCTTCGTGAGTGCCCTTCCCACCCCCTCGTGAGTGCCCCTCGCACCCCCTCATGAGTGCCCCTTGCACCCCTCGTGAGTGCCCCTCGCACCCCCTCGTGAGTGCCCCTCGCACTCCCTCGTGAGTGCCCCTCGTACCCCCTCGTGAGGTGCCCCTCGCACCCCCTCGTGAGTGCCCCTCGCACCCCCTCGTGAGTGCCCATCGCACCCCCTCGTGAGTGCCCTCCACCCCCTCGTGAGTGCCCCTTGCACCCCCTCGTGAGTGCCCCTTTGCACCCCCCTTGTGAGTGCCCTTCCACCCCCTCGTGAGTGCCCCTTTGCACCCCCTCGTGAGTGCCCCTCGCACCCCCTCGTGAGTGCCCCTTGCAACCCCTCGTGAGTGCCCCTCGCATCCCCTCGTGAGTGCCCCTCGCACTCCCTCGTGAGTGCCCCCTCGTACCCCCTCGTGAGTGCCCCTCGCACCCCCTCGTGAGTGCCCCTCGCACCCTCTCGTGAGTGCCCTTCCCACCCCCTCGTGAGTGGCCCCTCGCACCCCCTCGTGAGCGCCCCTCGCACCCCCTCGTGAGTGCCCCTTGAACCCCCTCGTGAGTGCCCCTTTGCACCCCCCTCGTGAGTGCCCCTCGCACCCCCTCGTGAGTGCCCCTTCCCACCCCCTCGTGAGTGCCCCTCGCACCCCCTCGTGAGTGCTCCTCGCACTCCCTCGTGAGTGCCCTTGGCACCCACCTCGTGAGTGCCCCTCGCACCCGCTCGTGAGTGCCCCTTGCACCCCCTCGTGAGTGCCCCCTTTGCACCCCCTCGTGAGTGCCCCTCACACCCCTTCGTGAGTGCCCTTCCCACCCCCTCGTGAGTGCCCCTCGCACCCCCTCATGAGTGCCCCTTGCACCCCTCGTGAGTGCCCCTCGCACCCCCTCGTGAGTGCCCCTCGCACTCCCTCGTGAGTGCCCCTCGTACCCCCTCGTGAGTGCCCCTCGCACCCCCTCGTGAGTGCCCTCGCACCCCCTCGTGAGTGCCCATCGCACCCCCTCGTGAGTGCCCTTCCCACCCCCTCGTGAGTGCCCCTTGCACCCCCCTCGTGAGTGCCCCTTTGCACCCCCTTGTGAGTGCCCTTCCCACCCCCTCGTGAGTCCCCCCTTTGCACCCCCTCGTGAGTGCCCCTCGCACCCCCTCGTGAGTGCCCCTTGCACCCCCTCGTGAGTGCCCCTCGCACCCCCTCGTGAGTGCCCCTCGCACTCCCTCGTGAGTGCCCCTCGTACCCCCTCGTGAGTGCCCCTCGCACCCCCTCGTGAGTGCCCCTCGCACCCTCTCGTGAGTGCCCTTCCCACCCCCTCGTGAGTGCCCCTCGCACCCCCTCGTGAGCGCCCCTCGCACCCCCTCGTGAGTGCCCCTTGAACCCCCTCGTGAGTGCCCCTTTGCACCCCCTCGTGAGTGCCCCTCGCACCCCCTCGTGAGTGCCCTTTACACCCCCTCGTGAGTGCCCTCGCACCCGCTCGTAAGTGCCCCTTGCACCCCCTCGTGAGTGCCCCTTTGCACCCCCTCGTGAGTGCCCCTCACACCCCCTCGTGAGTGCCCTTCCCACCCCCTCGTGAGTGCCCCTCGCACCCCCTCGTGAGTGCCACTTGCACCCCCTCGAGAGTGCCCTCGCACCCCCTCGTGAGTGCCCTTCGCACTCCCTCGTGAGTGCCCCTCGTACCCCCTCGTGAGTGCCCCTCGCACCCCCTCGTGAGTGGCCCCTCGCACTCCCTCGTGAGTGCCCTTTACACCCCCTCGTGAGTGCCCCTCGCACCCGCTCGTAAGTGCCCCTTGCACCCCCCTCGTAGAGTGCCCCTTTGCAACCCCCTCGTGAGTGCCCCTCACACCCCCTCGGTGGAGTGCCCTTCCCACCCCCTCGTGAGTGCCCCTCGCACCCCCGTGAGTGCCCCTTGCACCCCCTCGAGAGTGCCCCTCGCACCCCCTCGTGAGTGCCCTTCGCACTCCCTCGTGAGTGCCCCTCGTACCCCCTCGTGAGTGCCCCTCGCACCCCCTCGTGAGTGCCCCTCGCACCCCCTCGTGAGTGCCATCGCACCCCCTCGTGAGTGCCCTTCCCACCCCCTCGTGAGTGCCCCTTGCACCCCCTCGTTGGAAGTGCCCCTTTGCACCCCCTCGTGAGTGCCCCTCGCACCCCCTCGTGACTGCCCTTCCCACCCCCTCGTGAGTGCCCCTCGCACCTCCTTGTGAGTGCCCCCGCACTCCCTCATTAGTGCCCTTTGCACCCCCTCGTGAGTGCCCCTCGCACCCCATCGTGAGTGCCCTTCGCACTCCCTCGTGAGTGCCCTTTGCCCCCCCTCGTGAGTGCCCCTCGCACCCCCTCGTGAGTGCCCCTTGCCCCCCTTCGTGAGTGCCACTTTGCACCCCCTCGTGAGTGCCCCTCGCACCCCCTCGTGAGTGCCCCTTGCACTCCCTCGTGAGTGCCCCTCGCACCCCCTCGTGAGTGCCCCTCGCACCCCCTCGTGAGTGCCCTTCCCACCCCCTCGTGAGTGCCCCTCGCACCCCCTCGTGAGTGCCCCTCGCACTCCCTCGTGAGTGCCCCTCGTACCCCCTCGTTAGTGCCCCTCGCACCCCCTCGTGAGTGCCCCTCGCACCCCCCTCGTGAGTGCCCTTCCCACCCCCTCGTGAGGCCCCTTGCACCCCCTCGTGAGTGCCCCTTTGCACCCCCTCGTGAGTGCCCCTCGCACCCCCTCGTGACTGCCCTTCCCACCCCCTCGTGAGTGCCCCTCGCACCCCCTTGTGAGTGCCCCTCGCACTCCCTCATTAGTGCCCTTTGCACCACCTCGTGAGTGCCCCTCGCACCCCCTCGTGAGTGCCCCTTTCACTCCCTCGTGAGTGCCCTTTGCACCCCCTCGTGAGTGCCCCTCGCACCCCCTCGTGAGTGCCCCTTGCACCCCCTCGTGAGTGCCCCTTTGCACCCCCTCGTGAGTGCCCCTCGCACCCCCTCGTGAGTGCCCCTCGCACTCCCTCGTTAGTGCCCTTTGCACCCCCTCGTGAGTGCCCCTCGCACCCCCTCGTGAGTGCCCCTTTGCACCCCCTCGTGAGTGCCCCTCGCACCCCCTCGTGAGTGCCCCTCGCACTCCCTCGTGAGTGCCCCTCGTACCCCCTCGTGAGTGCCCCTCGCACCCCCTCGTGAGTGCCCCTCGCACCCTCTCGTGAGTGCCCTTCCCACCCCCTCGTGAGTGCCCCTCGCACCCCCTCGTGAGCGCCCCTCGCACCCCCTCGTGAGTGCCCCTTGCACCCCCTCGTGAGTGCCCCTTTGCACCCCCTCGTGAGTGCCCCTCGCACCCCCTCGTGACTGCCCTTCCCACCCCCTCGTGAGTGCCCCTCGCACCCCCTTGTGAGTGCCCCTTGCACTCCCTCATTAGTGCCTTTTGCACCCCCTCGTGAGTGCCCCTCGCACCCCCTCGTGAGTGCCCCTCGCACTCCCTCGTGAGTGCCCTTTTGCACCCCCTCGTGAGTGCCCCTCGCACCCCCTCGTGAGTGCCCCTTGCACCCCCTTGTGAGTGCCCCTTTGCACCCCCCTCGTGAGTGCCCCTCACACCCCCTCGTGAGTGCCCTTCCCACCCCCTCTTGAGTGCCCCTCGCACCCCCTCGTGAGTGCCCCTCGCACTCCCTCGTTAGTGCCCTTTGCACCCCCTCGTGAGTGCCCCTCGCACCCCCTCGTGAGTGCCCCTTTGCACCCCCTCGTGAGTGCTCCTCGCACCCCCTCGTGAGTGCCCCTTGCACCCCCTCGTGACTGCCCCTCGCACCCCCTCGTGAGTGCCCCTCGCACCCCCTCGTGAGTGCCCCTCGCACTCCCTCGTGAGTGCCCTTTGCACCCCCTCGTAAGTGCCCCTCGCACCCGCTCGTGAGTGCCCCTTGCACCCCCTCGTGAGTGCCCCTTTGCACCCCCTCGTGAGTGCCCCTCACACCCCCTCGTGAGTGCCCTTCCCACCCCCTCGTGAGTGCCCCTCGCACCCCCTCGTGAGTGCCCCTTGCACCCCCTCGTGAGTGCCCCTCGCACCCCCTCGTGAGTGCCCCTCGCACTCCCTCGTGAGTGCCCCTCGTACCCCCTCGTGAGTGCCCCTCGCACCCCCTCGTGAGTGCCCCTCGCACCCCCTCGTGAGTGCCCATCGCACCCCCTCGTGAGTGCCCTTCTCACCCCCTCGTGAGTGCCCCTTGCACCCCCTCGTGAGTGCCCCTTTGCACCCCCTCGTGAGTGCCCCTCGCACCCCTTCGTGAGTGCCCTTCCCACCCCCTCGTGAGTGCCCCTCGTACCCCCTCGTGAGTGCCCGTTTGCACCCCCTCGTGAGTGCCCCTCGCACCCCCTCGTGAGTGCCCTTCCCACCCCCTCGTGAGTGCCCCTCGCACCCCCTCGTGAGTGCCCCTCGCACCCCCTCGTGAGTGCCCATCGCACCCCCTCGTGAGTGCCCTTCTCACCCCCTCGTGAGTGCCCCTTGCACCCCCTCGTGAGTGCCCCTTTGCACCCCCTCGTGAGTGCCCCTCGCACCCCTTCGTGAGTGCCCTTCCCACCCCCTCGTGAGTGCCCCTCGTACCCCCTCGTGAGTGCCCGTTTGCACCCCCTCGTGAGTGCCCCTCGCACCCCCTCGTGAGTGCCCTTCCCACCCCCTCGTGAGTGCCCATCGCACCCCCTCGTGAGTGCCCTTCTCACCCCCTCGTGAGTGCCCCTTGCACCCCCTCGTGAGTGCCCCTTTGCACCCCCTCGTGAGTGCCCCTCGCACCCCTTCGTGAGTGCCCTTCCCACCCCCTCGTGAGTGCCCCTCGTACCCCCTCGTGAGTGCCCGTTTGCACCCCCTCGTGAGTGCCCCTCGCACCCCCTCGTGAGTGCCCTTCCCACCCCCTCGTGAGTGCCCCTCGCACCCCCTCGTGAGTGCTCCTCGCACTCCCTCGTGAGTGCCCTTGGCACCCCCTCGTGAGTGCCCCTCGCACCCGCTCGTGAGTGCCCCTTGCACCCCCTCGTGAGTGCCCCTTTGCACCCCCCTCGTGAGTGCCCCTCACACCCCTTCGTGAGTGCCCTTCCCACCCCCTCGTGAGTGCCCCTCGCACCCCCTCGTGAGTGCCCCTTGCACCCCCTCGTGAGTGCCCCTCGCACCCCCTCGTGAGTGCCCCTCGCACTCCCTCGTGAGTGCCCCTCGTACCCCCTCGTGAGTGCCCCTCGCACCCCCTCGTGAGTGCCCCTCGCACCCTCTCGTGAGTGCCCTTCCCACCCCCTCGTGAGTGCCCCTCGCACCCCCTCGTGAGCGCCCCTCGCACCCCCTCGTGAGTGCCCCTTGAACCCCCTCGTGAGTGCCCCTTTGCACCCCCTCGTGAGTGCCCCTCGCACCCCCTCGTGAGTGCCCTTCCCACCCCCTCGTGAGTGCCCCTCGCACCCCCTCGTGAGTGCCCCTTGCACTCCCTCATTAGTGCCCTTTGCACCCCCTCGTGAGTGCCCCTCGCACCCCCTCGTGAGTGCCCCTCGCACTCCCTCGTGAGTGCCCTTTGCACCCTCTCGTGAGTGCCCCTCGCACCCCCTCGTGAGTGCCCCTTGCACCCCCTCGTGAGTGCCCCTTTGCACCCTCTCGTGAGTGCCCCTCGCACCCCCTCGTGAGTGCCCTTCCCACCCCCTCGTGAGTGCCCCTCGCACCCCCTCGTGAGTGCCCCTCGCACTCCCTCGTGAGTGCCCTTTACACCCCCTCGTGAGTGCCCCTCGCACCCGCTCGTAAGTGCCCCTTGCACCCCCTCGTGAGTGCCCCTTTGCACCCCCTCGTGAGTGCCCCTCACACCCCCTCGTGAGTGCCCTTCCCACCCCCTCGTGAGTGCCCCTCGCACCCCCTCGTGAGTGCCCCTTGCACCCCCTCGAGAGTGCCCCTCGCACCCCCTCGTGAGTGCCCTTCGCACTCCCTCGTGAGTGCCCCTCGTACCCCCTCGTGAGTGCCCCTCGCACCCCCTCGTGAGTGCCCCTCGCACCCCCTCGTGAGTGCCCATCGCACCCCTCGTGAGTGCCCTTCCCACCCCCTCGTGAGTGCCCCTTGCACCCCCTCGTGAGTGCCCCTTTGCACCCCCTCGTGAGTGCCCCTCGCACCCCCTCGTGACTGCCCTTCCCACCCCCTCGTGAGTGCCCCTCGCACCTCCTTGTGAGTGCCCCTCGCACTCCCTCATTAGTGCCCTTTGCACCCCCTCGTGAGTGCCCCTCGCACCCCCTCGTGAGTGCCCTTCGCACTCCCTCGTGAGTGCCCTTTGCCCCCCCTCGTGAGTGCCCCTCGCACCCCCTCGTGAGTGCCCCTTGCCCCCCCTTCGTGAGTGCCACTTTGCACCCCCTCGTGAGTGCCCCTCGCACCCCCTCGTGAGTGCCCCTTGCACTCCCTCGTGAGTGCCCCTCGCACCCCCCTCGTGAGTGCCCCTCGCACCCCCTCGTGAGTGCCCTTCCCACCCCCTCGTGAGTGCCCCTCGCACCCCCTCGTGAGTGCCCCTCGCACTCCCTCGTGAGTGCCCCTCGTACCCCCTCGTTAGTGCCCCTCGCACCCCCTCGTGAGTGCCCCTCGCACCCCCTCGTGAGTGCCCTTCCCACCCCCCTCGTGAGTGCCCCTTGCACCCCCTCGTGAGTGCCCCTTTGCACCCCCTCGTGAGTGCCCCTCGCACCCCCTCGTGACTGCCCTTCCCACCCCCTCGTGAGTGCCCCTCGCACCCCCTTGTGAGTGCCCCTCGCACTCCCTCATTAGTGCCCTTTGCACCACCTCGTGAGTGCCCCTCGCACCCCCTCGTGAGTGCCCCTTTCACTCCCTCGTGAGTGCCCTTTGCACCCCCTCGTGAGTGCCCCTCGCACCCCCTCGTGAGTGCCCCTTGCACCCCCTCGTGAGTGCCCCTTTGCACCCCCTCGTGAGTGCCCCTCGCACCCCCTCGTGAGTGCCCCTCGCACTCCCTCGTTAGTGCCCTTTGCACCCCCTCGTGAGTGCCCCTCGCACCCCCCTCGTGAGTGCCCCTTTGCACCCCCTCGTGAGTGCCCCTCGCACCCCCTCGTGAGTGCCCCTCGCACTCCCCTCGTGAGTGCCCCTCGTACCCCCTCGTGAGTGCCCCTCGCACCCCCTCGTGAGTGCCCCTCGCACCCTCTCGTGAGTGCCCTTCCCACCCCCTCGTGAGTGCCCCTCGCACCCCCTCGTGAGCGCCCCTCGCACCCCCTCGTGAGTGCCCCTTGCACCCCCTCGTGAGTGCCCCTTTGCACCCCCTCGTGAGTGCCCCTCGCACCCCCTCGTGACTGCCCTTCCCACCCCCTCGTGAGTGCCCCTCGCACCCCCTTGTGAGTGCCCCTTGCACTCCCTCATTAGTGCCTTTTGCACCCCCTCGTGAGTGCCCCTCGCACCCCCTCGTGAGTGCCCCTCGCACTCCCTCGTGAGTGCCCTTTGCACCCCCTCGTGAGTGCCCCTCGCACCCCCTCGTGAGTGCCCCTTGCACCCCCCTTGTGAGTGCCCCTCGCACCCCCTCGTGAGTGCCCCTCGCACCCCCTCGTGAGTGCCCCTCGCACCCCCTCGTGAGTGCCCCTCGCACCCCCTCGTGAGTGCCCCTCGCACCCCCTCGTGAGTGCCCATCGCACCCCCTCGTGAGTGCCCTTCCCACCCCCTCGTGAGTGCCCCTCGCACCCCCTCGTGAGTGCCCCTTGCACCCCCTCGTGACTGCCCCTCGCACCCCCTCGTGAGTGCCCCTCGCACCCCCTCGTGAGTGCCCCTCGCACTCCCTCGTGAGTGCCCTTTGCACCCCCTCGTAAGTGCCCCTCGCACCCGCTCGTGAGTGCCCCTTGCACCCCCTCGTGAGTGCCCCTTTGCACCCCCTCGTGAGTGCCCCTCACACCCCTCGTGAGTGCCCTTCCCACCCCCTCGTGAGTGCCCCTCGCACCCCCTCGTGAGTGCCCCTTGCACCCCCTCGTGAGTGCCCTCGCACCCCCTCGTGAGTGCCCCTCGCACTCCCTCGTGAGTGCCCCTCGTACCCCCCTCGTGAGTGCCCCTCGCACCCCCTCGTGAGTGCCCCTCGCACCCTCTCGTGAGTGCCCTTCCCACCCCCTCGTGAGTGCCCCTCGCACCCCCTCGTGAGCGCCCCTCGCACCCCCTCGTGAGTGCCCCTTGCACCCCCTCGTGAGTGCCCCTTTGCACCCCCTCGTGAGTGCCCCTCGCACCCCCTCGTGACTGCCCTTCCCACCCCCCTCGTGAGTGCCCCCTCGCACTCCCTCGTGAGTGCCCCTCGTACCCCCTCGTGAGTGCCCCTCGCACCCCCTCGTGAGTGCCCCTCGCACCCCCTCGTGAGTGCCCATCGCACCCCCTCGTGAGTGCCCTTCTCACCCCCTCGTGAGTGCCCCTTGCACCCCCTCGTGAGTGCCCCTTTGCACCCCCTCGTGAGTGCCCCTCGCACCCCTTCGTGAGTGCCCTTCCCACCCCCTCGTGAGTGCCCCTCGTACCCCCTCGTGAGTGCCCGTTTGCACCCCCTCGTGAGTGCCCCTCGCACCCCCTCGTGAGTGCCCTTCCCACCCCCTCGTGAGTGCCCCTCGCACCCCCTCGTGAGTGCTCCCTCGCACTCCCTCGTGAGTGCCCTTGGCACCCCCTCGTGAGTGCCCCTCGCACCCGCTCGTGAGTGCCCCTTGCACCCCCTCGTGAGTGCCCCTTTGCACCCCCTCGTGAGTGCCCCTCACACCCCTTCGTGAGTGCCCTTCCCACCCCCTCGTGAGTGCCCCTCGCACCCCCTCATGAGTGCCCCTTGCACCCCCTCGTGAGTGCCCCTCGCACCCCCTCGTGAGTGCCCCTCGCACTCCCTCGTGAGTGCCCCTCGTACCCCCTCGTGAGTGCCCCTCGCACCCCCTCGTGAGTGCCCCTCGCACCCCCTCGTGAGTGCCCATCGCACCCCCTCGTGAGTGCCCTTCCCACCCCCTCGTGAGTGCCCCTTGCACCCCCTCGTGAGTGCCCCTTTGCACCCCCTTGTGAGTGCCCTTCCCACCCCCTCGTGAGTGCCCCTTTGCACCCCCTCGTGAGTGCCCCTCGCACCCCCTCGTGAGTGCCCCTTGCAACCCCTCGTGAGTGCCCCTCGCATCCCCTCGTGAGTGCCCCTCGCACTCCCTCGTGAGTGCCCCTCGTACCCCCTCGTGAGTGCCCCTCGCACCCCCTCGTGAGTGCCCCTCGCACCCTCTCGTGAGTGCCCTTCCCACCCCCTCGTGAGTGCCCCTCGCACCCCCTCGTGAGCGCCCCTCGCACCCCCTCGTGAGTGCCCCTTGAACCCCCTCGTGAGTGCCCCTTTGCACCCCCTCGTGAGTGCCCCTCGCACCCCCTCGTGAGTGCCCTTCCCACCCCCTCGTGAGTGCCCCTCGCACCCCCTCGTGAGTGCTCCTCGCACTCCCTCGTGAGTGCCCTTGGCACCCCCTCGTGAGTGCCCCTCGCACCCGCTCGTGAGTGCCCCTTGCACCCCCTCGTGAGTGCCCCTTTGCACCCCCTCGTGAGTGCCCCTCACACCCCTTCGTGAGTGCCCTTCCCACCCCCTCGTGAGTGCCCCTCGCACCCCCTCATGAGTTCCCCTTGCACCCCCTCGTGAGTGCCCCTCGCACCCCCTCGTGAGTGCCCCTCGCACTCCCTCGTGAGTGCCCCTCGTACCCCCTCGTGAGTGCCCCTCGCACCCCCTCGTGAGTGCCCCTCGCACCCCCTCGTGAGTGCCCATCGCACCCCCTCGTGAGTGCCCTTCCCACCCCCTCGTGAGTGCCCCTTGCACCCCCTCGTGAGTGCCCCTTTGCACCCCCTTGTGAGTGCCCTTCCCACCCCCTCGTGAGTCCCCCTTTGCACCCCCTCGTGAGTGCCCCTCGCACCCCCTCGTGAGTGCCCCTTGCACCCCCTCGTGAGTGCCCCTCGCACCCCCTCGTGAGTGCCCCTCGCACTCCCTCGTGAGTGCCCCTCGTACCCCCTCGTGAGTGCCCCTCGCACCCCCTCGTGAGTGCCCCTCGCACCCTCTCGTGAGTGCCCTTCCCACCCCCTCGTGAGTGCCCCTCGCACCCCCTCGTGAGCGCCCCTCGCACCCCCTCGTGAGTGCCCCTTGAACCCCCTCGTGAGTGCCCTTTGCACCCCCTCGTGAGTGCCCCTCGCACCCCCTCGTGAGTGCCCTTCCCACCCCCTCGTGAGTGCCCCTCGCACCCCCTCGTGAGTGCCCCTTGCACTCCCTCATTAGTGCCCTTTGCACCCCCTCGTGAGTGCCCCTCGCACCCCCTCGTGAGTGCCCCTCGCACTCCCTCGTGAGTGCCCTTTGCACCCTCTCGTGAGTGCCCCTCGCACCCCCTCGTGAGTGCCCCTTGCACCCCCTCGTGAGTGCCCCTTTGCACCCTCTCGTGAGTGCCCCTCGCACCCCCTCGTGAGTGCCCTTCCCACCCCCTCGTGAGTGCCCCTCGCACCCCCTCGTGAGTGCCCCTCGCACTCCCTCGTGAGTGCCCTTTACACCCCCTCGTGAGTGCCCCTCGCACCCGCTCGTAAGTGCCCCTTGCACCCCTCGTGAGTGCCCCTTTGCACCCCCTCGTGAGTGCCCCTCACACCCCCTCGTGAGTGCCCTTCCCACCCCCTCGTGAGTGCCCCTCGCACCCCCTCGTGAGTGCCCCTTGCACCCCCTCGAGAGTGCCCCTCGCACCCCCTCGTGAGTGCCCTTCGCACTCCCTCGTGAGTGCCCCTCGTACCCCCTCGTGAGTGCCCCTCGCACCCCCTCGTGAGTGCCCCTCGCACCCCCTCGTGAGTGCCCATCGCACCCCCTCGTGAGTGCCCTTCCCACCCCCTCGTGAGTGCCCCTTGCACCCCCTCGTGAGTGCCCCTTTGCACCCCCTCGTGAGTGCCCCTCGCACCCCCTCGTGACTGCCCTTCCCACCCCCTCGTGAGTGCCCCTCGCACCTCCTTGTGAGTGCCCCTCGCACTCCCTCATTAGTGCCCTTTGCACCCCCTCGTGAGTGCCCCTCGCACCCCCTCGTGAGTGCCCTTCGCACTCCCTCGTGAGTGCCCTTTGCCCCCCCTCGTGAGTGCCCCTCGCACCCCCTCGTGAGTGCCCCTTGCCCCCCCTTCGTGAGTGCCACTTTGCACCCCCTCGTGAGTGCCCCTCGCACCCCCTCGTGAGTGCCCCTTGCACTCCCTCGTGAGTGCCCCTCGCACCCCCTCGTGAGTGCCCCTCGCACCCCCTCGTGAGTGCCCTTCCCACCCCCTCGTGAGTGCCCCTCGCACCCCCTCGTGAGTGCCCCTCGCACTCCCTCGTGAGTGCCCCTCGTACCCCCTCGTTAGTGCCCCTCGCACCCCCTCGTGAGTGCCCCTCGCACCCCCTCGTGAGTGCCCTTCCCACCCCCTCGTGAGTGCCCCTTGCACCCCCTCGTGAGTGCCCCTTTGCACCCCCTCGTGAGTGCCCCTCGCACCCCCTCGTGACTGCCCTTCCCACCCCCTCGTGAGTGCCCCTCGCACCCCCTTGTGAGTGCCCCTCGCACTCCCTCATTAGTGCCCTTTGCACCACCTCGTGAGTGCCCCTCGCACCCCTCGTGAGTGCCCCTTTCACTCCCTCGTGAGTGCACTTTGCACCCCCCTCGTGAGTGCCCCTCGCACCCCCTCGTGAGTGCCCCTTGCACCCCCTCGTGAGTGCCCCTTTGCACCCCCTCGTGAGTGCCCCTCGCACCCCCTCGTGAGTGCCCCTCGCACTCCCTCGTTAGTGCCCTTTGCACCCCCTCGTGAGTGCCCCTTTGCACCCCCTCGTGAGTGCCCCTCGCACCCCCTCGTGAGTCCCCCTTGCACCCCCTCGTGAGTGCCCCTCGCACCCCCTCGTGAGTGCCCCTCGCACTCCCTCGTGAGTGCCCCTCGTACCCCCTCGTGAGTGCCCCTCGCACCCCCCTCGTGAGTGCCCCTCGCACCCCCTCGTGAGTGCCCTTCCCACCCCCTCGTGAGTGCCCCTCGCACCCCTCGTGAGCGCCCCTCGCACCCCCTCGTGAGTGCCCCTTGCACCCCCTCGTGAGTGCCCCCTTTGCACCCTCTCGTGACTGCCCCTCGCACCCCCTCGTGACTGCCCTTCCCACCCCCTCGTGAGTGCCCCTCGCACCCCCTTGTGAGTGCCCCTCGCACTCCCTCATGAGTGCCTTTTGCACCCCCTCGTGAGTGCCCCTCGCACCCCCTCGTGAGTGCCCCTCGCACTCCCTCGTGAGTGCCCTTTGCACCCCCTCGTGAGTGCCCCTCGCACCCCCTCGTGAGTGCCCCTTTGCACCCCCTCGTGAGTGCCCCTCGCACCCCCTCGTGAGTGCCCCTTGCACCCCCTCGTGAGTGCCCCTCGCACCCCCTCGTGAGTGCCCCTCGCACTCCCTCGTGAGTGCCCCTCGTACCCCCTCGTGAGTGCCCCTCGCACCCCCTCGTGAGTGCCCCTCGCACCCCGTCGTGAGTGCCCTTCCCACCCCCTCGTGAGTGCCCCTCGCACCCCCTCGTGAGCGCCCCCTCGCACCCCCTCGTGAGTGCCCCTTGCACCCCCTCGTGAGTGCCCCTTTGCACCCTCTCGTGACTGCCCCTCGCAACCCCTTGTGACTGCCCTTCCCACCCCCTCGTGAGTGCCCCTCGCACCCCCTTGTGAGTGCCCCTCGCACTCCCTCATTAGTGCCTTTTGCACCCCCTCGTGAGTGCCCCTCGCACCCCCTCGTGAGTGCCCCTCGCACTCCCTCGTGAGTGCCCTTTGCACCCCCTCGTGAGTGCCCCTCGCACCCCCTCGTGAGTGCCCCTTGCACCCCCTCGTGAGTGCCCCTTTGCACCCCCTCGTGAGTGCCCCTCGCACCCCCTCGTGAGTGCCCCTTGCACCCCTCGTGAGTGCCCCTCGCACCCCCTCGTGAGTGCCCCTCGCACTCCCTCGTGAGTGCCCCTCGTACCCCCTCGTGAGTGCCCCTCGCACCCCCTCGTGAGTGCCCCTCGCACCCCCTCGTGAGTGCCCTTCCCACCCCCTCGTGAGTGCCCCTCGCACCCCCCTCGTGAGCGCCCCTCGCACCCCCCTCGTGAGTGCCCCTTGCACCCCCCTCGTGAGTGCCCCTTTGCACCCTCTCGTGACTGCCCCCTCGCACCCCCTTGTGACTGCCCTTCCCACCCCCTCGTGAGTGCCCCTCGCACCCCCTTGTGAGTGCCCCTCGCACTCCCTCATTAGTGCCTTTTGCACCCCCTCGTGAGTGCCCCTCGCACCCCCTCGTGAGTGCCCCTCGCACTCCCTCGTGAGTGCCCTTTGCACCCCCTCGTAAGTGCCCCTCGCACCCCCTCGTGAGTGCCCCTTGCACCCCCTCGTGAGTGCCCCTTTTGCACCCCCTCGTGAGTGCCCCCTCGCACCCCCTCGTGAGTGCCCCTTGCACCCCCTCGTGAGTGCCCCTCGCACCCCCTCGTGAGTGCCCCTCGCACTCCCTCGTGAGTGCCCCTCGTACCCCCTCGTGAGTGCCCCTCGCACCCCCTCGTGAGTGCCCCTCGCACCCTCTCGTGAGTGCCCTTCCCACCCCCTCGTGAGTGCCCCTCGCACCCCCTCGTGAGCGCCCCTCGCACCCCCTCGTGAGTGCCCCTTGCACCCCCTCGTGAGTGCCCCTTTGCACCCCCTCGTGAGTGACCCTCGCACCCCCTCGTGACTGCCCTTCCCACCCCCTCGTGAGTGCCCCTCGCACCCCCTTGTGAGTGCCCCTTGCACTCCCTCATTAGTGCCTTTTGCACCCCCTCGTGAGTGCCCCTCGCACCCCCTCGTGAGTGCCCCTCGCACTCCCTCGTGAGTGCCCTTTGCACCCCCTCGTGAGTGCCCCTCGCACCCCCTCGTGAGTGCCCCTTGCACCCCCTTGTGAGTGCCCCTTTGCACCCCCCTCGTGAGTGCCCCTCACACCCCCTCGTGAGTGCCCTTCCCACCCCCTCTTGAGTGCCCCTCGCACCCCCTCGTGAGTGCCCCTCGCACTCCCTCGTTAGTGCCCTTTGCACCCCCTCGTGAGTGCCCCTCGCACCCCCTCGTGAGTGCCCCTTTGCACCCCCTCGTGAGTGCTCCTCGCACCCCCTCGTGAGTGCCCCTTGCACCCCCTCGTGACTGCCCCTCGCACCCCCTCGTGAGTGCCCCTCGCACCCCCTCGTGAGTGCCCCTCGCACTCCCTCGTGAGTGCCCTTTGCACCCCCTCGTAAGTGCCCCTCGCACCCGCTCGTGAGTGCCCCTTGCACCCCCTCGTGAGTGCCCCTTTGCACCCCCTCGTGAGTGCCCCTCACACCCCCTCGTGAGTGCCCTTCCCACCCCCTCGTGAGTGCCCCTCGCACCCCCTCGTGAGTGCCCCTTGCACCCCCTCGTGAGTGCCCCTCGCACCCCCTCGTGAGTGCCCCTCGCACTCCCTCGTGAGTGCCCCTCGTACCCCCTCGTGAGTGCCCCTCGCACCCCCTCGTGAGTGCCCCTCGCACCCCCTCGTGAGTGCCCATCGCACCCCCTCGTGAGTGCCCTTCTCACCCCCTCGTGAGTGCCCCTTGCACCCCCTCGTGAGTGCCCCTTTGCACCCCCTCGTGAGTGCCCCTCGCACCCCTTCGTGAGTGCCCTTCCCACCCCCTCGTGAGTGCCCCTCGTACCCCCTCGTGAGTGCCCGTTTGCACCCCCTCGTGAGTGCCCCTCGCACCCCCTCGTGAGTGCCCTTCCCACCCCCTCGTGAGTGCCCCTCGCACCCCCTCGTGAGTGCTCCTCGCACTCCCTCGTGAGTGCCCTTGGCACCCCCTCGTGAGTGCCCCTCGCACCCGCTCGTGAGTGCCCCTTGCACCCCCTCGTGAGTGCCCCTTTGCACCCCCTCGTGAGTGCCCCTCACACCCCTTCGTGAGTGCCCTTCCCACCCCCTCGTGAGTGCCCCTCGCACCCCCTCATGAGTGCCCCTTGCACCCCCTCGTGAGTGCCCCTCGCACCCCCTCGTGAGTGCCCCTCGCACTCCCTCGTGAGTGCCCCTCGTACCCCCTCGTGAGTGCCCCTCGCACCCCCTCGTGAGTGCCCCTCGCACCCCCTCGTGAGTGCCCATCGCACCCCCTCGTGAGTGCCCTTCCCACCCCCTCGTGAGTGCCCCTTGCACCCCCTCGTGAGTGCCCCTTTGCACCCCCTTGTGAGTGCCCTTCCCACCCCCTCGTGAGTGCCCCTTTGCACCCCCTCGTGAGTGCCCCTCGCACCCTCTCGTGAGTGCCCCTTGCACCCCCTCGTGAGTGCCCCTCGCACCCCCTCGTGAGTGCCCCTCGCACTCCCTCGTCAGTGCCCCCTCGTACCCCCTCGTGAGTGCCCCTCGCACCCCCTCGTGAGTGCCCCTCGCACCCCCTCGTGAGCGCCCCTCGCACCCCCTCGTGAGTGCCCCTTGAACCCCCTCGTGAGTGCCCCTCGCACCCTCTCGTGAGTGCCCTTCCCACCCCCTTGTGAGTGCCCCTCGCACCCCCTCGTGAGCGCCCCTCGCACCCCCTCGTGAGTGCCCCTTGAACCCCTCGTGAGTGCCCCTTTGCACCCCCTCGTGAGTGCCCCTCGCACCCCCTCGTGAGTGCCCTTCCCACCCCCTCGTGAGTGCCCCTCGCACCCCCTCGTGAGTGCCCCTTGCACTCCCTCATTAGTGCCCTTTGCACCCCTCGTGAGTGCCCCTCGCACCCCCTCGTGAGTGCCCCTCGCACTCCCTCGTGAGTGCCCTTTGCACCCTCTCGTGAGTGCCCCTCGCACCCCCTCGTGAGTGCCCCTTGCACCCCCTCGTGAGTGCCCCTTTGCACCCTCTCGTGAGTGCCCCTCGCACCCCCTCGTGAGTGCCCTTCCCACCCCCTCGTGAGTGCCCCTCGCACCCCCTCGTGAGTGCCCCTCGCACTCCCTCGTGAGTGCCCTTAACACCCCCTCGTGAGTGCCCCTCGCACCCGCTCGTAAGTGCCCCTTGCACCCCCTCGTGAGTGCCCCTTTGCACCCCCTCGTGAGTGCCCCTCACACCCCCTCGTGAGTGCCCTTCCCACCCCCTCGTGAGTGCCCCTCGCACCCCCTCGTGAGTGCCCCTTGCACCCCCTCGAGAGTGCCCCTCGCACCCCCTCGTGAGTGCCCTTCGCACTCCCTCGTGAGTGCCCCTCGTACCCCCTCGTGAGTGCCCCTCGCACCCCCTCGTGAGTGCCCCTCGCACCCCCTCGTGAGTGACCATCGCACCCCCTCGTGAGTGCCCTTCCCACCCCCTCGTGAGTGCCCCTTGCACCCCCTCGTGAGTGCCCCTTTGCACCCCCTCGTGAGTGCCCCTCGCACCCCCTCGTGACTGCCCTTCCCACCCCCTCGTGAGTGCCCCTCGCACCTCCTTGTGAGTGCCCCTCGCACTCCCTCATTAGTGCCCTTTGCACCCCCTCGTGAGTGCCCCTCGCACCCCCTCGTGAGTGCCCTTCGCACTCCCTCGTGAGTGCCCTTTGCCCCCCCTCGTGAGTGCCCCTCGCACCCCCTCGTGAGTGCCCCTTGCCCCCCCTTCGTGAGTGCCACTTTGCACCCCCTCGTGAGTGCCCCTCGCACCCCCTCGTGAGTGCCCCTTGCACTCCCTCGTGAGTGCCCCTCGCACCCCCTCGTGAGTGCCCCTCGCACCCCCTCGTGAGTGCCCTTCCCACCCCCTCGTGAGTGCCCCTCGCACCCCCTCGTGAGTGCCCCTCGCACTCCCTCGTGAGTGCCCCTCGTACCCCCTCGTTAGTGCCCCTCGCACCCCCTCGTGAGTGCCCCTCGCACCCCCTCGTGAGTGCCCTTCCCACCCCCCTCGTGAGTGCCCCTTGCACCCCCTCGTGAGTGCCCCTTTGCACCCCCTCATGAGTGCCCCTCGCACCCCCTCGTGACTGCCCTTCCCACCCCCTCGTGAGTGCCCCTCGCACCCCCTTGTGAGTGCCCCTCGCACTCCCTCATTAGTGCCCTTTGCACCACCTCGTGAGTGCCCCTCGCACCCCCTCGTGAGTGCCCCTTTCACTCCCTCGTGAGTGCCCTTTGCACCCCCTCGTGAGTGCCCCTCGCACCCCCTCGTGAGTGCCCCTTGCACCCCCTCGTGAGTGCCCCTTTGCACCCCCTCGTGAGTGCCCCTCGCACCCCCTCGTGAGTGCCCCTCGCACTCCCTCGTTAGTGCCCTTTGCACCCCCTCGTGAGTGCCCCTCGCACCCCCTCGTGAGTGCCCCTTTGCACCCCCTCGTGAGTGCCCCTCGCACCCCCTCGTGAGTGCCCCCTTGCACCCCCTCGTGAGTGCCCCTTGCACCCCCTCGTGAGTGCCCCTCGCACCCCCTCGTGAGTGCCCCTCGCACCCCCTCGTGAGTGCCCCTCGCACTCCCTCGTGAGTGCCCTTGGCACCCCCTCGTGAGTGCCCCTCGCACCCGCTCGTGAGTGCCCCTTGCACCCCCTCGTGAGTGCCCCTTTGCACCCCCTCGTGAGTGCCCCTCACACCCCCCTCGTGAGTGCCCTTCCCACCCCCTCGTGAGTGCCCCTCGCACCCCCTCGTGAGTGCCCCTTGCACCCCTCGTGAGTGCCCCTCGCACCCCCTTGTGAGTGCCCCTCGCACTCCCTCGTGAGTGCCCCTTGTACCCCCTCGTGAGTGCCCCTCGCACCCCCTCGTGAGTGCCCCTCGCACCCCCTCGTGAGTGCCCATCGCACCCCCTCGTGAGTGCCCTTCCCACCCCCTCGTGAGTGCCCCTCGCACCCCCTCGTGAGTGCCCCTCGCACTCTCTTGTGAGTGCCCTTTGCACCATCTCGTGAGTGCCCCTCGCACCCCCTCGTGAGTGCCCCTTGCACCCCCTCGTGAGTGCCCCTTTCCACCCCCTCGTGAGTGCCCCTCGCACCCCCTCGTGAGTGCCCCTTGCACCCCCTCGTGAGTGCCTCTCGCACCCCCTCGTGAGTGCCCCTCGCACCCCCTCGTGAGTGCCCCTCGCACCCCCCTCATGAGTGCCCCTCGCACCCCCTCGTGAGGTGCCCCTTGCACCCCCTCGTGAGTGCCCCTCGCACCCCCTCGTGAGTGCCCCTCGCACTCCCTCGTGAGTGCCCCTCGCACCCCCTCGTGAGTGCCCCTTGCACCCCCTCATGAGTGCCCCTCGCACTCCCTCGTGAGTGCCCTTTGCACCCCCTCGTGAGTGCCCCTCGCACCCCCTCGTGGGTGCCCCTCGCACCCCCTCGTGAGTGCCCCTTGCACCCCCTCGTGAGTGCCCCTCGCACCCCCTCGTGAGTGCCCCTCACACCCCCTCGTGAGTGCCCTTCCCACCCCCTCGTGAGTGCCCCTCGCACCCCCTCGTGAGTGCCCATCGCACCCCCTCGTGAGTGCCCTTCCCACCCCCTCGTGAGTGCCCCTCGCACCCCCTCGTGAGTGCCCCTCGCACTCTCTTGTGAGTGCCCTTTGCACCATCTCGTGAGTGCCCCTCGCACCCCCTCGTGAGTGCCCCTTGCACCCCCTCGTGAGTGCCCCTTTGCACCCCCTCGTGAGAGCCCCTCGCACCCCCTCGTGAGTGCCCCTTGCACCCCCTCGTGAGTGCCCCTTGCACCCCCTCGTGAGTGCCTCTCGCACCCCCTCGTGAGTGCCCCTCGCACCCCCTCGTGAGTGCCCCTCGCACCCCCTCATGAGTGCCCCTCGCACCCCCTCGTGAGGTGCCCCTCGCACCCCCTCGTGAGTGCCCCTCGCACCCCCTCGTGAGTGCCCCTCGCACTCCCTCGTGAGTGCCCCTCGCACCCCCTCGTGAGTGCCCCTTGCACCCCCTCATGAGTGCCCCTCGCACTCCCTCGTGAGTGCCCTTTGCACCCCCTCGTGAGTGCCCCTCGCACCCCCTCGTGGGTGCCCCTCGCACCCCCTCGTGAGTGCAAGTGCCCCTCGCACCCCCTCGTGAGTGCCCCTCGCACCCCCCTCGTGAGTGCCCCTCGCACCCCCTTGTGAGTACCACTCGCACCCCCTCGTGAGTGCCCCTTGCACCCCCTCGTGAGTGCCCCTCGCACCCCCTCGTAAGTGCCCCTCGCACCCCCTCGTGAGTGCCCCTCGCACCCCCTCGTGAGTGCCCCTCGAACCCCCTCGTGAGTGCCCCTCGCACCCCCTCGTGAGTGCCCCTCGCACTCCCTCGTGAGTGCCCCTCGTACCCTCTCGTTAGTGCCCCTCGCACCCCCTCGTGAGTGCCCCTCGCACCCCCTCGTGAGTGCCCTTCCCACCCCCTCGTGAGTGCCCCTTGCACCCCCTCGTGAGTGCCCCTTTGCACCCCCTCGTGAGTGCCCCTCGCACCCCCTCGTGACTGCCCTTCCCACCCCCTCGTGAGTGCCCCTCGCACCCCCTTGTGAGTGCCCCTCGCACTCCCTCATTAGTGCCCTTTGCACCACCTCGTGAGTGCCCCTCGCACCCCCTCGTGAGTGCCCCTTTCACTCCCTCGTGAGTGCCCTTTGCACCCCCTCGTGAGTGCCCCTCGTACCCCCTCGTGAGTGCCCCTTGCACCCCCTCGTGAGTGCCCCTTTGCACCCCCTCGTGAGTGCCCCTCGCACCCCCTCGTGAGTGCCCCTCGCACTCCCTCGTTAGTGCCCTTTGCACCCCCTCGTGAGTGCCCCTCGCACCCCCTCGTGAGTGCCCCTTTGCACCCCCTCGTGAGTGCCCTTGGCACCCCCTCGTGAGTGCCCCTCGCACCCGCTCGTGAGTGCCCCTTGCACCCCCTCGTGAGTGCCCCTTTGCACCCCCTCGTGAGTGCCCCTCACACCCCCTCGTGAGTGCCCTTCCCACCCCCTCGTGAGTGCCCCTCGCACCCCCTCGTGAGTGCCCCTTGCACCCCTCGTGAGTGCCCCTCGCACCCCCTTGTGAGTGCCCCTCGCACTCCCTCGTGAGTGCCCCTTGTACCCCCTCGTGAGTGCCCCTCGCACCCCCTCGTGAGTGCCCCTCGCACCCCCTCGTGAGTGCCCATCGCACCCCCTCGTGAGTGCCCTTCCCACCCCCTCGTGAGTGCCCCTCGCACCCCCTCGTGAGTGCCCCTCGCACTCTCTTGTGAGTGCCCTTTGCACCATCTCGTGAGTGCCCCTCGCACCCCCTCGTGAGTGCCCCTTGCACCCCCTCGTGAGTGCCCCTTTCCACCCCCTCGTGAGTGCCCCTCGCACCCCCTCGTGAGTGCCCCTTGCACCCCCTCGTGAGTGCCTCTCGCACCCCCTCGTGAGTGCCCCTCGCACCCCCTCGTGAGTGCCCCTCGCACCCCCTCATGAGTGCCCCTCGCACCCCCTCGTGAGGTGCCCCTTGCACCCCCTCGTGAGTGCCCCTCGCACCCCCTCGTGAGTGCCCCTCGCACTCCCTCGTGAGTGCCCCTCGCACCCCCTCGTGAGTGCCCCTTGCACCCCCTCATGAGTGCCCCTCGCACTCCCTCGTGAGTGCCCTTTGCACCCCCTCGTGAGTGCCCCTCGCACCCCCTCGTGGGTGCCCCTCGCACCCCCTCGTGAGTGCCCCTTGCACCCCCTCGTGAGTGCCCCTCGCACCCCCTCGTGAGTGCCCCTCACACCCCCTCGTGAGTGCCCTTCCCACCCCCTCGTGAGTGCCCCTCGCACCCCCTCGTGAGTGCCCCTCGCACCCCCTCGTGAGTGCCCATCGCACCCCCTCGTGAGTGCCCTTCCCACCCCCTCGTGAGTGCCCCTCGCACCCCCTCGTGAGTGCCCCTCGCACTCTCTTGTGAGTGCCCTTTGCACCATCTCGTGAGTGCCCCTCGCACCCCCTCGTGAGTGCCCCTTGCACCCCCTCGTGAGTGCCCCTTTGCACCCCCTCGTGAGTGCCCCCTCGCACCCCCTCGTGAGTGCCCCTTGCACCCCCTCGTGAGTGCCCCTTGCACCCCCTCGTGAGTGCCTCTCGCACCCCCTCGTGAGTGCCCCTCGCACCCCCTCGTGAGTGCCCCTCGCACCCCCTCATGAGTGCCCCTCGCACCCCCTCGTGAGGTGCCCCTCGCACCCCCTCGTGAGTGCCCCTCGCACCCCCTCGTGAGTGCCCCTCGCACTCCCTCGTGAGTGCCCCTCGCACCCCCTCGTGAGTGCCCCTTGCACCCCCTCATGAGTGCCCCTCGCACTCCCTCGTGAGTGCCCTTTGCACCCCCTCGTGAGTGCCCCTCGCACCCCCTCGTGGGTGCCCCTCGCACCCCCTCGTGAGTGCAAGTGCCCCTCGCACCCCCTCGTGAGTGCCCCTCGCACCCCCCTCGTGAGTGCCCCTCGCACCCCCTTGTGAGTACCACTCGCACCCCCTCGTGAGTGCCCCTTGCACCCCCTCGTGAGTGCCCCTCGCACCCCCTCGTAAGTGCCCCTCGCACCCCCTCGTGAGTGCCCCTCGCACCCCCTCGTGAGTGCCCCTCGAACCCCCTCGTGAGTGCCCCTCGCACCCCCTCGTGGGTGCCCCTCGCCCCCCCTTCTCCTCCTTCCCCCTGCTGCGGGTGCAGCAGTGGGGGGGAGGGGGGGGGGGGGGGGAGGGTATCGGGTGGCGGGAAGGTGTCTGCAGTACCAGCCCCCCCCGCCCCCCCCCCCCTTCTCTTCCATTACCCTGCTGTGGGTGCAGCAGAAGGGGGGAGGGGATCTGCGGCACCAGCCCCCCCTGCCCCCCCCACCCCTTCTCCTCCATCCCCCTGCTGCGGGTGCAGCAGTGGGGGAGGGGGATCTGCAGCACCAGCCCCCCCCCGCCCGCCCCCTTCTCCTCCATCCCCCTGCTGCGGGTGCAGCAGTGGGGGGGAGGAGATTGTTAGTGTAACGGCCAAATAAAATCAGGCTATTAAGATGTTATCCAACTTAAAACCTCTCCTCGGGGTCACCTCCAAGGGTCCCTGGGTGCTTGGTACAAGACCAGCCCCTATCCTCGGGTCCGAGTTTGTAGAGAGTGAGATCAAGATGGACTTAGTCAAAACAGCAAGAGTACCTTGAACGTCGCGCAGCGTGCCGTGCAGACTGTCGATCGAATTAAGCTGAGAACTCGTTATATCGAAGCTCACTCTAAGAGCTTTCAAAAGAGTCAAGTTGTCTCGCGAAAAGTTCTGCCATTGCAGAGTTATGGCTCGGACAGCGTTTGCCTAGCGTTGTAGTGCTAGCGTACTAGCGTTGACTCGGTAGCATTCTGCCGTCGAACCGCATAGATACGAAATTCCAGCAAGGAAGGAATTCGCTTGATTCAATTTGACTATATCCAGGTACAAACCGAGAACGAATAAATAGTTCTAGCTAGCAAGGACCTTGGGAATCAACCTGGGAACAATCAGGGATGATCCCAAATAATTCCAAGCAACAGAACCAACCTGGCTGGACAAAACAGCAGGTGGTAGGTTGGTAAACAACATCTGGTTCTGTTTTTCCAACCTGGGAAAACAACAACCAGGTTCGGATCCTAAAAACAGAACCTATTTTGTCTTTGCCCAACCAGCCAAATGCTGGTTCCGCTGGTTTCCCCTGGCCCTGTAGCATGCAGATACAGACAAACAACATCCAAGCTTCACCTAAACTGTACCCCTATATTGCCTGCCCTGCTACACTATAGTCAACCAAACAAAACAGTACAATTTGGAGTTGGATAGAACTGAATCTGCGCAATCAATTCAACCGAACTGCAAAGCTTCCATCTTGGGTTCCTTTGCGAGCTCGTCCTTTCTGCTTGCAATGTTCATAGCGCGTACAATGTTGTGCCGAAGCGTACATTGCGCGAGTACCTGCAAGTGCGTCAAGCGAAAATTGCGAAAGCAAACAAACATACGAACATTCTATTCACACCCAAAAGCATTCGCACACGCATACTCGTACAAACAGACGGCAGGATGTCGTGCAATGTGAATTTGAACCCAACAGGGATGTGCAGCACCAGCCCCCCCGTCCCCCCCCCTGTTCCTCCATCCCCCTGCTGTGGGTGCAGCAGTGGGGGGGAGGGTATGGGGGTGGCGGGTGTGAGTGAACTGCTGCCGCCTCTCCTCCTCTCTCTCCCACTAGTGCACATGCCGCTGTGAGGGGGAGGAGGGTGTGGGGGAGATATGGGAGTGGCGGTAGGGGTGTTGAGGGGTGTTAAAGGGGGGTTTGGGGAAATGAGGGAAGTTGAAGGGGGGTGGACGCCGTGAAGCCAGCAGCTCCGGTCGCCCGTGAGACCGTTGCGCCAGTTGCCCGTGAGCCCGTTGCTCCTGACGCCCAGGGTATTGTGCACAAGGTTCTTCACTACAGGCAGTTAGGGGGTGTGTTAGAATATACTTACATATTCTTTATAACTGTCTGTAGTGTAGACTGTAGTGTATCTCACTTGCTGTAGGTGGTGTACCATGTGGCTTTCTTCTTGCCTATATCCTTGTACTGTTTCTCATTATTGAACACTTCTTCCTTCTCAATTTTCCTCACCCAAACTCTCACGACACTCAACCCTAGCATGGCTCCTATGCCTCCTAAGCCTACACTTAGTTTCCTAGGTGCTTAGTGTTCTGACATTTTCTTTTATCGTTCTCCATGCAGGTCCATGACTTGTTGTTCGTCAAGGATTTCGGTGCAGAGATTTGCTACGGAGATTCTTCCGTGGGCAAGGAGAATGGCTCGAGTGGAGTGTCACTAAGGACCGAGACCTGTGATGATGACAGTGACGAACGCTTCTTCTGATATTGATCCGCCGCATCGAATGAGTCTATTGCAAAGACCGCGACAGCGACTTATATATGCCATTCCCTTCTCGCCGGGTTGCATTTGGACCGTTGTTAATTGCGCCGTGAGACGACTTTGATTAACGCTGTCGGTTGCTTAATACAGGTTCTTCAGGTGGTTGTACGAGAGCTCAGCAGAGTTTCCGTATCCGCGATAAGACCGGATGTTCTGCTGCTCGTTTGCAGTTATGTTTCGCAGAAGTATGGTGTACGCCATCAGTGACTGGTACTGTCAAACTATTTGTTTGTGTTCTCTTTAGGCTGTAGTGGGTTAGCCTACAAGGGGTACAACACTTTAGGGTTAGTACTTGCACCCAACTCATTCATAGTTCATTCATTACTGCACAAATATTCTGACATGGTATTCAGAGCAGAAAACGTGATAAGTTTTTAGGGCCCACCGATAGTTTCGCTCGTTCCTGCCCGATATGTTGGTGCAACCCTACGGTTTGCATTCGGCTTGTTGTCCGTGTGCGTGCATGCGTGTGTGCATGGAATGGTATGAGGGCATGAGATAAAATATATTTCATGCTTACAATAGTGTGTGAATGATGAGGCATGAGTTTGAATGTGTGTGTCGAGTCAATAGCGAGTTATCGCTAGTCGCGTGTCACGTCATCGTTTGCGTGTCGTATGCGGTTTTCTATTTTGTCGTGTGTGGAACGTTTGGTGTGCCGCTGGTGTGCGCAGCAGACTTCCAAGAACTCAATGAAGAATTTATCTTGAAGAACCAGAGCCATGGTTTCAAGATTCAAATTATTTCGAAGCTCTCCAAAAGGGTAAACTTCAAGATAGTGAGAATAGTTACATTACAATATGTAGTGTAACATTTCTCTTGGTGTAGGCCCTTGTGGAGGGTAGCTTCGAGACCCTTCATGGTTGGGGACAGTGTGGCACTGTTCCACATCACTATAACTCGGCTCTTGGGGTTTGTAGGAGCTGGGAGTCATTCCCAACTCCTAACTCTTCCTAATTTGTGTTCTAAGACTATAGTAGCTGCCATAGTGCTGTTTGTTCAAACCAACGTTGCGTCATCAATACTTGATGAAATCGTGCGATGTAAATTGCATATTGTAGGCAAAATCAAGACGCTCCATATCAAATTTATAGCAAGTCATTTTAATCTGTGAACAGAACGCTATCAACGTTTGAAGCCGCTATGCAGAAATCCGATTGTGCACTCCATATTTTGTTTTAGGCACATTCAAGCCTATTGTGACTATAACAAGTGGTATCAGAGCCCCTTGAAGCAGGTTCGATAATGGCTGGACCTGAGGAAAGGGGTGGCAGAGGTGCTGGTGGCAGTGGAGAAGCCCAAGTTCAAGGCCAACCCCGTGATCCCACCATGTCTCCCATGCAACCAAGTCTTGGCCCACCTAGGGATGAGCCTAGGGTGTTTGGGCATGACAAGTTAAACGGTGACAACTTTGCTAAATGGTCATTCAAGATGGAGAACATCTTTGACCACTATGACCTGCTGGAGGTGATGGAAGGAACGGAGAAGCGCCCCGAGAACGACCCGGAGAAGAGCCCGTGGGTGCGGAAGAGCGCACAAGGCTATCTCCTATTTGGGCAAGCGTTAGGGAGCAGCCAAATCCGTCACATGAAGCCATTCTAGCGTGAACCAGAGAAGGGACCAAAGGCATGGGCTGCTCTCAAGGGTGTACACGCTCCTGCAACAGCGGCGGTAACAGTGGTGTTGGAACGGCAAATGGCGGCACTACGAATTGAAGAAGACGAAGCGGTTGAAGAAGGGGTGCAGAAATTCTTCGACTTGTTGACGCGGCTTGAAGGAGCTGATTTGAACTATAGTGAGCTCCAAAAGAATACCAAGTTGCTGGCCTTAATCCCAGAGTCATGGTCCTCGCTCATCATCAACCTCAATCGTAACTTGCCCCGCTTCTCGCTTGAAGACGTGAAGCGAGCGATCCTTCAAGAGGATTTCCGCCGCCGTGAGTTGGCGGGTTCGGATGGCGCCGGGGAAGCAAGCATCGGCCGGGGATATGGTCGTGGAAGGGTGCTGATGGGAAGATGGTGGGCCTCAAGAACGTGCTTTGGGTGTCCAATCTTGCTGCGAACCTAATTTCCGTGCGGCGGTTACAAAAGGCCGGCATGGACATGAGCTCGAAGGGAGCCAAGACCAAAACCGCGAGGATTGGCGAGCAGGTTCTTTGGGACCTTCATGAGGATAGGGATGTCTACAACGAGATGTGGCAGATCCATGTGGTCCCTATGCCTAAAGAGAGGCAAGTGGCAGCAAGCGTCAGCACCAAGGGTGAAGCGGTTGGTAGCGGCTACGGCGTGAACGATAGCGCCAAGGCGAAAGAGTTCCAACAAGTGCAAACCAGGAGGGACCAGCAAGCAGTGTGAGCTTGAGGAGAGTGGTGCAGCAGCCAAGGAGCAGCACAAGGGTGAGGAGAACCCAAGGCAGCAGCGGAGGAGTACGGAGAGAGCACGTGGGGCACTATTGCTAGTGCGGCATTCTCCAATCCGACATTGGCTACGAGGGAGTTGTTGGGTGCAAATTCACATTGCACGACATCCTGCCGTCTGTTTGTACGAGTATGCGTGTGTGAATGCATTTGGGGGTGAATGGAATGTTCGTGTGTTTGCTTGCTTTCGCAATTTTCGCTTGATGCATTTGCAAGTACTCGCGCAATGTGCGCTTCGGCACAATATTGTACGCGCTATGAACAGTGCAGGCAGAATGGACGAGCTCGCAAAGGAACTCAAGATGGAAGCTTTGCAGTTCGGTTTAATTGATAGCGCAAATTCAGTTCTTTCCAACTCGAAATTGTACTGTTTTGTTTGGTTGACTATAGTGTAGAACGGCAGGCACTATAGGGGTACAATTTAGGTGAAGGTTGGATGTTCTTTGTCTGTATCTGGCTTGTTGGTTGGGCAAAGACAAAACAGGTTGTGTTTGTAGAACCTGAACCTTGTTGTTGTTTTCCCAGGTTGGAAAAAGAGAACCAGAGGTTGTTTACCAACCTACCACCTGCTGTTTTGTCCAGCCAGGTTGGTTCTGTTGCTTGGAATTATT